CATAAATCGAAGGGGTACATATAACTTTCATTATAAAATGGCATATGTTAATCAATTTGCTGTAAATTATTAACACAAGGAACAAGAAACGATAAAAACTTGCTTTAAAATATCCCAGTGTGAACACTGATTTCCCTTTTAACAGTCTAAACAACTTGTTTATCCACTTGATTTGCTTGTCTATTTGTGTTGCTAGTGCCAAGTGAACCTGTAGTCTAGTAAAATTATGATTTAGCCGAGCATTAATTTTTGAAGAGAAAAAAAAAATTATTTTTCTATTGTATAATTATTGATTGAAAAGATTGGGGCTTTTTGTGTCTTTACTGGACTACTGGTATTAGGAATAATGAGGCCTGGATCATACCCTCATCATGCAATGCGTGTCACTGCATGCGTGCATTACTTGATATTTAGCAAATTTAGATGTTATGTTTGTTACAAAACTTGAAAGATTCGTGTATTGTTCTGCACGTTATAAATTCGCAGCCATTACTTTCAAGGTCAGTACACAATTATAATCTCTATTTAACAACGTGGGAACCAGATATCTCATTAAATTTTGTTAGAAATTATTGTAGAATTTAACTTTTCTTTATTGTTAATTATAATTATTTATTTTTAGGAAATATAATTTATGCATGTATTAAAATGACTTCTGTGATTTTATATAATATACTTATAAAATAATAATAAAGAAATGTATGTACCTGATTAAATTTATTATTATTTACGTAAAATAAGTAATTCACTTTTAGTTTTAGTTAGTTAGTTAGTTTTTTTATGGCGATCAGTTATAAGGGCTGTATATATCTAATGCAGTAATTATAAAATTTACATACAAGAATATAAGGGGTACTTGAGAAAAAACTAATGGGCTAATAGAGTACATCAACAAAAAAGGTTGAGAACCACTGCAGTAAAAGAATATGCAGTTATAATGTAGTAACTTTGACAGAAACAATTTTACATTGAATTTTACTCTGAATACATTGTATAGTGCGAGAAGGATTCAGCCATTCTCGTGTCATATTTAAAAACATGCAAATTTGAAAGTAGCCTATGTTTTTCCTAGGACTATCCTGAATAAATGTATAGTTTCATACAAATTGGCTCAGCCATTCACATGATACTTGAATAGACAGATATGTATATAATTAGATAAGGCATTGGTTCCTTCCAGTGGTAATTGTAGGTAAAGGTAACCTAGAATACACTTCTAGAGACTGCAGATGTACACAAATATATGTTTGTTCAATCTCTGTGTTCAATACTAGTGAGATCTGTTGCATACTTTTAACCTGTTCTCAATACAACAAGGCCACAGAATGTCATCTAAAACAACAAACTTTCCCAGATGATATAAAGTGTTGTATATGCTACTGGATGACAATAGACAAATCTGATCTTTCTACAAATTGTACTCGATGATATAGATCACTGCCATAAATTGTTACTGACTAAACTAATACATCCATCATGCTGTGTACTCCTCAGTCTAATGTATCATGTAAACCCAAAACAAACAATACTTGTTTGATTCTAGACATAGTAAAATATCAAGTATTGCATGATACAGGCTTTATATAAACTTATAAGGCACCTTTTACATAATTTATAATAATAATACATAATAACCTAAAATTATCACTGGTTATTTTTATTTATAAAATTGATAACTGATAATATGTAAAAAGTAAAGAAGTGTGCTTTAATTTGATAGATGACACAATTTAGTAAAAATAATTAAACATAAACATTACTAAACACTTAATTTTTAGAGTGGGGAGGCTACAGTGGCCAAGAACGAAGTGCAAATTCCATCTGGATGGATATGGGAGAGTAATTGGGAAATTGACTTGAATAGAGCCGTAGATGAAGATGGTTAGTATCCAATTATGAAATTTATTTTGAGGAATAAATTTCATAATTTATTCCTCAAAATAATAATAGTATAACCCATAGAAACTTTTTGATGCTATTCAAGGTTGGGAATACACCACTGAAATGGAAGAAAGCGGCTACCAACCTGTAGAAATGACACATCACCTTTGTCGTAGAAGAAGATGGATCCGACAGAGGGCCTGTCTTCGAGGAATATCGGATTATTTTTCCGAAAAGGTGATCTATTTTTTTAAGTATTTTATGTACAGTGGAACCTCACTTAATGAGCACCTCGCATAATGAGTGTTTTGCATAATGAGCAAAGCACATTGTAAAATTTACCATGCTTAACAAGCGCTGTTTCGCATAATGAGTGACGAGGAGAGGGAAAAGTCCCAAATTATGTACATGCTCCATCAGTCTGTGTTTAGCATTCGTTCCGCTAGCATCTTAGTGTCGCTTGTAATCACATATTTTTCCGAACTTGTGTTCACACATATTACATATAAACATCAACAACTATAGCCCATTATAACACCAAACAATATGCCAAATTCTTGGGCTATGTAAAGTCTATAATTAAATAGTAGAAATTAATTAATTTGATTAGAGGTAGGAGTTATGTTGCCATCTTCNAACTTGTGTTCACACATATTACATATAAACATCAACAACTATAGCCCATTATAACACCAAACAATATGCCAAATTCTTGGGCTATGTAAAGTCTATAATTAAATAGTAGAAATTAATTAATTTGATTAGAGGTAGGAGTTATGTTGCCATCTCGTATTAAATTTAATGACCAATTCCAAATTAAATTTTAGAAATGTCTGAATTAAAAATTAACTATTTATAATTATTAAATTTAATACAAGATGGAAGCATAACTGCCTACCTCTAGTAGAATTAATTAATTTTATTATGTAATTATAGCCTTTATATAGCCCAAGAATTTGGCATATCGTTTGGAGTGTTTATCAAACATATTATCTGTGATTTTTTTTTTTTTTTTTGCAAATCAAATTCTCATTCCAGGCTGGTTCATTCTGCACTAGAAGAAAAGATGATGATGATTCACACCCTTTAACAATGCACATTGTACAATTTTCTTTGAATAAACCTTATACATAAAATATTTGAGTATTTTCTTTTGGTGTGGAATGCATTATTGTATTTTACATTAATTTCTATGAGAAAAATTGTTTCTCTTAACAAGTGTTTTGCATTATGAATACAATTCTGGAACAAATTATGCTCATTAAGAAAAGGTTTCACTGTATTTAATTGCAAGATAAGCAAGTAAAAACTTTAATTATATAGGATTCCGACACCATATCCATCACTTCCATGGATTCGCAAGTCATGGAGGAAGGATGGGAATATGCACCATTATTTAACATGAAATTTCATGCAAAGGAACGAAGAATGGATCTGGTTAGAAGGCGACGTTGGCACAGGAAACTAATTGCAGAGGATCCCAGTGCACCGCTGGTGTTCAATCTGGCTATTACTCCCAAAAAGGTTAGTTTTTAATCCAAAATTTACATAATGTAATAATCAAATCTTAAAATTATTATTAATTTTTTGATTATTTAATAAAATATATATTAATCTGACTATATTCAAGATACTTTTTTATTATGGTATTGACAAAACACAAAGCATGTTCTTGTAGCAGTTCAACTAATGCACACTAAGCTGTAGAAAGAGAGTCATTCTCTTCAAAAATTAATTGCTTTATCTTCTTAATTATCTTGTAAATCTCAAAGGCCTCAAAATGTTTCTACTGTACTCGGTTTGCCATGTGACATATTATATTTGCATTGTGAAAGTTGATCTAGAAACCATCCTCCCATATATTCAACTAGTGCCATGTTGGCCATCTTCTTTTTGATATTATATTGGCTACAGATGACAACATGTTGTCATCTGTCCACCCTTTAGTCAAGTAAAAATAAACACTGGCTGAAAATTGAACCCTGGTCATTGTAATAATCTCTCTATATTTGTTGGATCTTTATCAAACTCACTGGTTTCTTTGATGATTTGTTTTATTTATTGCATATATAACTAGTTTGAGTTATGTTTAATACTGATTTCTAAATTTGCAAATTACACTTTGACTTTATGACATATATATATATAAGACAAAAAGATTCATCACCTACCTATATATATATAGGTAGGTGATGATTCTTTTTGTCTTATTCTTGCCTTGACAGGATATTCATTGTAAATATGATTAACTCTTCATTTTGCTGTGTTGTTTTTGTGTGGGCAGAATCTTGTTTCACTCATTTTGTATATCTTCATCTAAGATTACTGTTTAAATCCTACAGGACAAGTAAATTATATATGTAAAATATTCACGAGTAGGCAGAGTAGGAATATGTCAAATTAGGAGAATAATTTTTATTTAATGGTAAGAACTACTCTTCTGGCCATACTGTGTTAAATTTTCAAAGAAATGTGGAGAGCAATACATGCAAATATATCACATAGTTACTTGCAATAAACTGGACCTTTGGCAAAGTCTACTGTTCTTTTTCCTTTCCTTTCAGCCTGCAAAGCGAAAGAATTGTAAAGCATTTTGCGACAACTTAATGATTCATTTGTATGTATTCTACTAAATACAATCCCAGATAATCAAGAGTGCCATATTATAAAATTATATCATATCAATTTATTGCATATCAAACATTGTTATAAATAATTTAAGTTGTCTTTAATCAAAGTATTTAATAATTGTTTTTTTTATATATATAGACAAGTATTGTGAGGAAAATTATGGGTTCCGAAGCATCCACAAGTGAATCAAAACAGGTCAGTTTATTATTTTTGACAACCTTTTCTATTATAACTTACTCAAATTAATTGATAAATAATATAATTTTAAATAAAATTATATTCTATGTTTTCTCTTTCAGACTGTGGAAGATGCCAAGTTGGCTATGCTCAGTTGCCCTCGTCTGTATTTAATCTATAAACGTACGCATTATCTATAGTTTTCTCTCATTAAATATGATTTTAATACATAAAATTACATTCATAATAAATATAAGTAAACAAACAAGTTTTCTTGCATGAAGTAGCTAATGAGCAAAGAGGTCAATTTGGTAACATTATGGAGTCATTAACATGTGATGAGTCAGTCGGACTTGTTACTCATCAATACTTCTTGTAATAAACTTTATTTGATAACCTTGTTTAACTAGATAAAAAATATCACTAACTCTACACTTTCACGAACTTTAAATAGAATAATAAATTTTAATTCGAGATGCTCATAAAAGATTATCAGGGTTTTAATGTCATTTATCTTCTCTTAGATATGTTATACAATAACAAACCTTACATGAAATGGAAGATGAACTCAATATAAAGTATATTAACCTTATGTAGGCCTTACATATAAGTGAGAAAACTGTTACTAATGTTTTCCATCTATACCTAATACCTTCTTCAGGTAGATTTTTCCAAAATCAAATCTTCCTGGTTCTGGCATTCTAGATTGGAATGTGTAGAAGATTCTCCAACATATTCAGATTTGAACATTTTTGTCTCTAAAGTTTTTCTTAATTATCCAATTTATTCAGTCTATGCATTATCTATTACAATGTTTGGTCAAATATGACCTGTCATACCCTTCAGATCTGTTTTTCTTCTTTAAAATTGACAGATATGCCCTGTAGGTCTGCCTTAAATATTTGTAACACCTCTGAATTTTTGAGTTGATTTATATGGTATGTTTTTTGTATTAGGGCAGCTTGTTGGAGTTTTTGTTTAATCTCATTATTGCATGCGTATATTACCAAGGCAGTGGTTTGCCTTGTGCAGGTAGTGGTGGCATGTAAACATTACCTTTTATATATCCCTACAGGGAGAAATCATGTGGAATGAGGTTGAAGAGCTTGAGGCCATTGGAGAAAAAACTTGTCCCAAGGGTTGAAGTGTCCAATCCACTATTGGAGAACAACATTGTTCCAAATGTTCTCACATCATGAAGAAAATGAGGGACCTTTATTTTTTTTATGATGACTTAAATGACTTAAATGATATTAAATTTCCAACAATCTTTAATGTTCAAATTGTGTTTTTGAATGTAAATAAAAATTTTCATACTCAAACTGTATGTAATTAGACATTAAATTTGTTTTACTGAAGTCTTTCTATAATATATAGTGCATCTTACATTTTATTTTATGTCTAAAGGCTTATCCACAAGACTTTTCTCAATACAACAGTTTAAATAACCAAATAACATCAAAAATCAACAATGGAATTGCCAAGATGGCAAAGCTATTAATCTATCACTTTATAGGATTCGAAATATAGTCAAGATTAGTAAATCAGAAAATTTTATTAGTGGATGTGGCCATTCAAATCCACTCGGTCACATTCGTTGTTGTCCAGACCGAATCTTTGACAAGTATAAGTAAAGGTCCTGTTAGAATCCTTGGCATGAAAAGAATTGAAATAAAATATAATTCAAAAAATTAAACCTTAATTGATGAATTAATGATAAATTACTGCTTGATTTTTGCAGTTATACAGTTATATATTAACTAAGAAAAGCATCTGTTGATTAGCCACAAAGAGTTAATTGGAGGAATATTCCATAGACATTATATCTAATTAACTATTTAGTTCATCCAAAAATGCAATTTTTTTATAGAATGTGTCATTTAAAAGTTGTATATGAATAAATGTAGATATAATGAGCATTTTATATAAAAATGCTTCAAAATATTAAACAATTTTAAAATTATAAATATGGTTGTATGATTAATTACTGCTTTGAATATCATAAAACTGTAAATTAAAATTTTAGGAGAATATTTAATGAATTTTAACTTCTTTTTTATTCTTGTAGATGCCCATAAATTTCAATTAAGAGCTTATGTATATCAAGCGAGAGATCTGATTGCATCTGACAGAAGTGGATTTTCAGGTATAGTAAATAGCTTTCTAGCATAATTGTATATTTTCAATTTAGATATTCATTAATCACTTTTAGTCACATTTTGCATGGCACTTCTTTGAGGATTTTATAAGGAAAAGATTTCCCAAAACATCACAAATAATAACAGAATTGAGAACACTAATCATTCAAGCTTCTAACAAAGTAACAGGATATATGCCATGAAGTGATATTGCTTTTTTAGGAAGCCCACCATGAGTTCAGATAGGTGCACATGGGGCAGCTGCTTGGTGAGGGACAAGCCCAACATATCCAGATGGATCATCCCCAAAACATTCTTGGGTTTTTTTGACCCATCCAGATTTGATTCCAGGTTCTGCAGTAGGTTGTAGGCCTGATTGCTCAGCCATCTGGCCATTGCCATCAAGTGATTAACATCACAGTTTGTGTCAAAGAAGTTGCTGCATGTAATGGTGGTCATATCTTCTCCCCACTTACCAATGGCTCTTGTCAGATATGGCTATATAGGAGGGCAAAAATTTGAGTGATGAGGGGTAGTGAGGTCATGACAAGGTGTCGGAATAACTACACAGGTTGAATAACAATAATACATTTAATAAACATCTAAGAGATTATACATATCAAAGGTAAAAGCAGAAATGACACACATATAAATAATAAAAGGTTTCTATTCTATATCTACGTTCTATCCTAAACTAAAGAACGAGAGAGATACCTCTCTAAGAGGGACGTGTTGGAGAGAGAGACAAAATTCGGTCAAGGGTTTACCTCGTGGGATTCGATCTCATTGTATTAGGCGTTGGTAGGACACATTGGGATCAGAGGTTTCTAATCATACTTTCCCGTGGATGGAGGTATGGAGCTGGTGTCCCTTGATGTTCGCTCGTCTATGTCCGATATGGGTGTATGCTCCATTTATCTCCGACTGTAGAGTTCTGCATGGAGATGTCCACTGATGGAGTTTATTTTGCGGTGTCCTCCTCGGCTGTCCACCCAGAGGTGCAAGTTCAACCCCTTTTTATACTTATTTCGGAAGGAAAATCATGGGGGAAGAAAATCTGATGCAATCGCCAGCTCAACTTGCGTACAGCTGTGTTTATGTTATCGTCATCCTTTCTTTCCACTATTTGACATCTTCCCATCATAAATTTGTCAAACTCCCTGATTTATTGATGTGAGATGACTCATATCAGAATGTGTCTCACCACCTTAGTAAAAATCATTGCCTTATTTGGTCATTTAGATTGACTTTCTCATTGGGTCGATCAGACTTAGAGGGGAGTACAGGGTTTTGTTTTATCCTTGTCAGTGACCTTTTAGTTACTCTCTAGACAGTAACAGGTGTTTGTCACCGTTAATTGGCTACTTATCTGCACCTTATATTTACGTTAGAATTTGAACAATCCCCTGGTGTGAGTGGAGTCCTTCTTCGGACAATTAAAGTCACCTTCGAGGTGATGCAGTACACTGAGGGGTCAAAAGGTCTCCTCTTTACTTCACAAGAAGGGAAAAGAAAAAGGAAATAATGATAAAAATAAACTATACCAACGTGTGAAAATTTACACTTGTGTCCGAATTCTCACACATTATTTAAGATATCTAATTGTAAAAAAATGAAATGGTAATCAGTAATGTAACTAGAAATAATATTAGGGGGTCCTGAGTTAATGTACAAACCTATATTTACATCTAGTACTAATGTGAATGTAGCCACTAGTGCTGTAAATGAAGAGTAAACTCTTAGATATTGTATGTACAGTACATGTGTATAAGTGTGTTTGTCATGTTCAAATCATTTTTCTGTAATTGTTTGATTTCTTTCTTAACTTATTTATTTCTAAAGATAAGGGAGGACCTGGACCCATCCTTGGTTACAATACTAATAATAATAATGATAATTTTTTTTTATTTTTTAGATCCATACATATGTGTGTCTGTTTTGAGTCAAAGTATGAAAACTGCCATCATTTTCCAAAGTCTCTGCCCGATATGGGACCAGACTTTAATATTCGATGAAGTAATAATTTATGGCGATGTAGAGACTGTAAAGTGTGAGCCTCCAATAGTCGCCGTGGAAGCTTATGATCAAGATGCTATTGTATGTATGATTGATGTGAGATCCTTCAAACAAGTATTACAGAAAAATTTGAATCAAAACATTTATAAATTCAGGGCGAAGACGAATTTATTGGCCGTTCTTTTGCGACCCCTTTTGTTCATCTGAATCCTGACAAATATCGACCACCTCGACTTGAATGGTATGAACTCAAGAGAGGGAAGAGACCAGGCGGAGAACTATTAGCATCTTTCGAACTATTATTGGTAAGGTTGTAATGCTTTAAAGAGTCAAGAATGCTAGGTTTAATATCTAAAAATCAATCTTTTACAGGCTGACGTTGGAGATTTACCATTTATGCCACCTAAACGTGGAGACTTTTATATTGTTCCTACTGGGATAAGACCAGTTTTACAAAGAACGGCTATTGAAGTAAATATCGAGAACTATTTTAAAATTATTAGGAATAGTTTCATCACAAATCTTGCATGTTAGTAAGTTGTAAAGCCTTTTTTGTCATTGATCAGTTTGCATTAATTGCCAGATGGAATTTGCCAGTTGTCTAATTTGTAACATTGCAATGAAACTGTTTTTCAATGATGTATCCATATGCTGTGACATAATAATGAATGTTTTATTTTTTTCACTACTATTCACTATATATAGAATTTGGTTACTACCGCACGCAAGCTTAAATGTGTGTTGATTTTTTGCATCAGAGTACAGGATGCATAATAAAATCCTTACACACTGATATATGTGAGCAATGTGCAACATACTGTGAGAATGTATAGCGCGGACAGGAAAACACAGACACGTTTTACCAATTAAACAAGTTTAATTTCGCGCTAACATTAATATATATACAGAATAAGTTCGGATTCCCGCTGTTACCTACAAACGTACCAAAATCCCGAGCGATCAGATATACCAATATACCTGTAGTTACTTTTCCGATAAGTACCTCCCGACAAAATTAGTTGCGCGCGTAAACTTAACCTAACTTAAAACTAAATTAAACTAAGAGATAGAAAAGATAGAAAGGGGAAATAAGAAGAATTAAAGGACAGAGGGTACTCAATTTTCCTGTTGGTTCTCCATCGTTCCTCGTCTCGGCTTCGTTCTCGGCTGTTCTTCCTTTTAGAACAATTTGGGTCAGTTTTGGCGTTTTCTTATAATCGTCGACCAGATTCTTCTGTCGATCCGCTTCTTACGGCCTCCTTCTGCAGCGCTCCCCCAACTTTCCGTTCCAGAGCCTGCTGCCACACGTCTCTCTCTCTTCGAGTCCGGCCTAAGAATGCCTAAAAACCCTTTGTTTTCCTCTCTTCCCAGCCCCATTTTCGTCTTTTGTTCTAAGGCTACCCCCTGATGGGTTAGGGGTGAGGCGAGTTCTTGGAAATCCGAGACAAAGGAACGAAGAAATCGGAAGGAAGGAAAGTTCTAGAATTTAATTTAAACTAAAACTATACAGACTAATAATAATAATAACAATATTAATAAAAGAAAAACAGGCGTGTAGCCACAATACAATACACAGTAACAAATGCAGCACATAGTAAAATGAGAAATAAATGCATTATCAATAAACACATGAGAAATACAGAAGAAATACACATTTGATTATTTGATGAAATGCTAATGTGCTTGTCAAGCACATTAGCATTTCATGCTATTCGTATACACAAGGTGTCCTTTTTACTAAACCATTGTGCTCTATGACTTTGTAACCAACTTTCTTTCTTTATCATGTATCATTTATGAGAGAAACTTCCAAATTTTACTACTAAGGACACTGCAAATGGTTCATTTTGTATCGTATACTTACTTTACTATAACTAAACTGCATGTCTGTAAGTGTAGCTATCTGCATTCATCAGTTACATGGGTGAATACATACTTTACTAATCACTCTCACATATTTTATATATGGTTGTACCTTCAATAATGGCTGACTTCTAACAACAGCGGTCTCTAAATGGCAGCCATTTCTTCAGGAATGTTTATTTTTGTAATTCATGTAAAATAACCTCCAAACAATAGTCCCATTAGTGACCATTTATGTTCCCATTAGTGACCATTGTTTAGAGCAGTGTCTTTCAACCTGTGGGTCGTGACCACCCCTTGGGAGTTGCAACCCACAGGTTGCAGGTAAAAGAAAAAGACAAGTGTTTGTAGATCCTACACTACAATAAAAAAACCTACAATTTCAGTGAGAAGGCTGTGCCTGTTTACTTTACAGTACAATTGGTTTTTTTTTATCGATATTTAAATCTCTACAGAAAGAAAATTAAATATGTACAGTAGTTTTTAAAATCACTGACCTAGATTTAATATGGCCATGTGGGGTTGTCAGAATTTTTTAACTTGTAAACGGGTCGTGTATTCAATAAGGTTGAAAAACTGTTTTAGAGGTTTGACTATAGTTGCATTCTCAAAGAGTATCTTATTATTCTGTATGCTATTACCGATGCTAGATACATAGCATCAGTATCCATATGAGTGAAAAATAAGAAGTTTTTATTGATTTTAAATTATTTTCTTCATGAATTTAGATTAGAATAATTTATGGAATCTTGTGCAGTATAATAATTTGAATTATGATAGACCCAGAATTCTGATGGAAAAAGATACAAATATAAAAGGTAAAAATTGAAAAAGATAAATCAAGTGAATGTTAAACTGTTTTACTTTATTTTCAGATTCTCTGTTGGGGTGTGAGGAATATGAAAACATTTGAATTTACCCACATAAGCAGACCTTCGATAGAATTTGAATGCGGCGGCACAATCGTGGAAAGCAAATTTATTAAGGACGCAAAAGTTAATCCGAATTTCGACGAGCCTCTATTATATATTGAAATGGTAAATGTTTATTTATAATTAATTTTATATATTGTAATGTCAAAACATTAGACTCAACTCCGTATCGATTGCAGTTACTTCCGGTCGAAGAGGTTTACATGCCACCCATGCATATCAAAGTAAGAGATCATAGACAGTTTGGACGTAAACCCATCGTTGGAACTCACGTTATTCCCTGTCTGCATACATTCGTCATTGAACCCATCTTTCCGAGCAAAGATTCTTTTGGGAAAGTCGCAGTTACTGTTGGAATGGAAGGAGATAAAGATAAAAGTAAGATTTGAGAAGTCTGTTACATTGTATCACACATAAATTTTGTTAAACTATGTGATAGTGTTTAAACAGCATTGCTATTATCTTACATTGTCAATGTTTAACTTTATCATCATATTCTCTAGTGACCGAGTGGATAAACCCACTGAACACTAGTAGTTGGTTGTAGATTTACATCTCACCAACAGGAGCATGGCATTTACCAGGTTTACTCATGTGTCTAACCTAAATAGGGATTATTTTCTCATATAGAAGTCCTCCCAAGAGGCAGATCACCCATGTGTTGTCTTACACCATTTATCCAATTCACCTTATTCTCTATCCATAACTTTAAAATAATATTGGTAACTTAAGAAAAAGCTTTACTCATTATATCCACTATTTATATGAACTGTTGTCAATACATAATTTTATTATTATTTAGCATATAAGTAATCAAGTAATATACTTGATTATTTATATGCTTGGGCTTGGCACATAAGGGTCTGGGAGACAAATGGTTAACAGTTTGTCTTCCCAATTTTATGCTTTAAAATATGTTTTATTTTACAATGGTTATAACACTATTTTGAATTTGTATAATATTGTGAGCCCACGGATTTTTAAGGAGACTTTTTAAAATCAATATAAATTGATTTTTACAAAATGTAAACAATCACCAATAGAAAAAATGGAGAATTAGACTGGAGATCACCAGTTGTATCAACACATCGATGGGAAAGTTGACACTTAGTTGTCAAAGACTGCAAGTCATCATCAACAAGGGATGATCATGTGACGCCTTTCCCACGACAATTGTATAAAAAAGCAAAACACCGGAAACCTAGGGTGATCACTTGGAAGTTATATTTGGTAGATGTGCCATTTTAGGCTTCATCGACTTCGACAAAGAAGAAGAGACCAGGAACTTCCACATAGAATTCAATTGTCGCATGTAGCTCATCATTATCACCTAGAGGTAATTATTTTAGAACAGTAAACTCTCTCTTCTATGAACATAAGCCTAACCCTTTGGAGAAAGGTTAGACTGTATAATTGCTCCCTAAGCACACTTATCTTATCCACATTTAGCCATAGATGTATCCAAGTTATTGTAATCTCTTATATTTACTAGTTACTTATATAATAAATGTTTGATTTGTTATGTTAACCTGTCAACCTGCCTTTTTCGGAAAATGAACACCTATTGGCTTACCCAATGCACTCCCCACTCATTAACTTGCCTTCCAATCAAGTTTAGCCATCCGATGACCCCACGGTTGGGTTTTAACCTGTGCTGATTAAGTGGTTAATAGCCCCTATAGCCCCCATCTTATCTCACAATATGTTTCACTTAAATTTATTCAAAAGTTCTTAAGATTCCAAGTAGTCTAGCTTGATGTCAACCTTTGGATGAGGTTAAAAATATTAGCTTTTAAAAATAGTGTTATCGGAATTCAACGTTTTTGTTTGGTCAGTTTATTAATTAATATTGAATTTAACAAGGAGATTCCTAAGGTTAGTGTTGTTAAGATAATTTAGATGCTTACAATTTCAATAAATTAACAGATGAATTGAGCAAACATCTGTGGTGGCAGTGGCCAAACTGAATCTCATGAGCTGCAAATGGCTCATCTAGATCATTACCATGGTTCCCATACAACCTGCTTATACAATTCTTTTTGTAAATGTAAACTTTGTAACATAATACTGTTCTAATAGAGAATTTGGTCCTGGCATATTTCTCACAAGCAATAAAAGGCTCCTATTGTAATAAGGTCAGGCCATTATCAGTCTATAGTTCAAAAAGACATTGTCTTAACACATATTACATACATAACATCTAAGAATTTGAAATTAATATCATATAAATTCCTACTGCATCCACTCTATATTTCTTTCTATGCCATTTTCTTAAAAGTTTTGTTGCAATTGAAATATGCAATATACTGTTAATGACATAAAAATTTTTGAAAATTTTAATTAGTTTGAATAATCAATGTCTTGGAAAGTAGATTTATGTATTACTAGCTGTTACCCGCAACTTCGTCCGCAGAGGTTTTGCAAGCAAACCCCATTTACATTCAATATTTCAATAACCATAGTAATTGTTATATAACACCTACCGCTGAAGAGAATTGCTGAGAATCAAATGAACTATTTTCAATTTGATCAATTTTCTGGAAAGTTTACAATCATTCTAGAATCGAACCAATATGCAATAACAAACTCGAATTTAAAACGGTTCGAACATTTTTAAAATCGAAATAGATAAAAATATTTATAACAATGTCTGAAATGTTATCAATTTAATACACCTAAGTACTCAATGAAGACTAAATGTAGTACAAAAAATTGCATCTAAAATAGTACAGTAAAAGCCATTCTTCCGGTTAAGCCTTAATCCCCCCTCTCCCCAACGGGGAAATTTAGAAAAATTCCTTCTTAGTGTCCACTCTCATGGCGTACCTTACTAAAATGCAGATAAAACAAAAAATCACATCTAAAATAGTACAGTAGAAGCTGTTCTTCCAGTTAAGCCTTAAGCCTCTCCTCTCCCCTCACAGGAAATTCAGAAAAATCCCTTCTTGATGTGAATTCCCATGGCATACCCTTCTAAAATGCAGATAAAACAAAAAATCTCATTTAAAATAGTACAGTAGAAGCTATTCTTCCGGTTAAGCCTTAATCCTCTCTCTTTCCTTCATGGGGGAATTTCGAAAAATCCCTTCTTAGTGTGCATTTTCATGATGTACCCAAACTGTATACCAAATTTCACCTTTAGGTTTAGCTGTTTGCTCTGGGCGATGATGAATCACCCAGTCAGTCAGTCATTCAGTCAGTCAGGACAAGTAATTTTATATATTTAGATTTAAATTGGTTCATTTTCAATTTTAGCTTTAGTGGAAGAAACTGCCATTGATATGCCCGATTATCTCGAAGATGTGACAGATAAAACCGAGGTAAGTAGAAATTGGACACAAAATCTAAGTTGCATTAACTAAGTAGTTTACAAAAATGTTTATCTTAAAGGAAGAAACAGAGGGTATCGACTGGTGGGCAAAATATTACGCATCAATAGGAGAAATCCAAAAGTCTGGAAAATATTTAGAAAAAGAGTATGATACAATTGAGGTGAGTGATTATTAAATGAATCAAACTTTATATATTTTTAAAAGTAAATTTCAGTAACATTAAATTGAGATTTGTGCATATTATATTTTTCAAATTTCAAAACCTCTTTTACATTTAATATAATTGTATTTGAGGTTCAGTGTGGAAGGTACTGAGAGAGTTGGAGCATCATTATCTGTATAAGATAGCCACAGCCGTCAGTTACTTTTGCTAATGTGGAAACCTGACCAACCTTTTTGTTGATATTCCTTGCCAAAATGGAAATGGATACATCGTGATCATGGAACATACATAGAGGGACAAGGCACATTTTAACCTTTGTGGAACACATAACATTCTATGAAAAACCCTTATATTTTCTACTAGATTACACTGAATGTGCTTATAGTTAGTCCAGGGTGGATTCATAGTCATATTCATCCTCGAGCCGTTCTTCTTTGAACAAGCTAGTCCCAATGGACTCAAGACATGCCCCATGATAGCCTGGAGATACTGAGAGATGCTCAACACTTTTTGTCATACCTCGACTGAATGGCAACAACATCTCATCAACCATTTTTGTGTGAGATAAAGAGAATTTATATATGAGGCACTGTATATGGCATTTTCTGTGACATTTCATGCAGTGATTTGTCATGTGTTTCTTACTGCCTAGCTCTGTCATTCTTTGGATCTTAATTTGCATTTTTATTTGTGAGAATACCTAAAACAGTGTGATTTTTCAAGGGCATATTGTAAATTTGGCATCCTCTAAAGACATTGCATTTCACACTGCATGAGAGAAGCATCAAAGAGGATCAATTAACAGTTCCTTGCCTTTATTTTATATGTTCAGATTAGGAACCATATTGAGCAGTATCCCATCACAGGGATGTCAATATCAATTGAATTTGGGCTAAATCAGAGACCTTTTTTTAATCAAATCAAATGAGACAATAAATTTCAAAGGAATCATATGGTTGCATACTGTGTTGCAGGTTAAAAAATAAACTTATTATTATCTTATATTTGAGTAGACTTACTAGAAGCAACAAAACATTGCATGTAGCCCAAAGGCCACAGATTTCCCATCTTTGGGCCAAATAATAAAATGCTAGTAACAACATTGCACAATAATAATCAGTTAAAGTTTTTAATAATTTATTTATATTTTGGGATGATTTGGAATACAACCCAATTTGTTCTTTTCGTGTGTTGACAGACAAGGGGAGCTGGAAATTTTTCTCCTTACCTGTAGTGATTCCTACCTCTATAAAATTAACATATTTTTAACTAAATAAAAACAAAATCTTTAAGACTGCTTTTTATTTATAAAGAAACATTCTATATATTTTATTTGTTCAGAAAATAAAAGGCCAAAGGAGTCTGCTAAGAGGCATAAAGGGTCAGTCTACCCTCGTGCCCCACATAAGCTCTCAAATACCATTCCTACAGAACACATTTTCGATGTTATTAATTTTATTTCTTTATTTTTGTGCAAGTTTGTTGCTTGGTATATGTTAATTTCCTATAATCAAACTAAATCAATCATTAATTTAATTTCTTTTGTAAAAGGTCTACAGAACCGAGCTTGAGAAAGTCGATAAATTTCATAGTTTCACTGATTTCCTCAATACTTTTCCTCTAAAACGTGGGAAAAGTAAAGACATGGAGGAATCCGATATCGTTGGAGAATTTAAAGTAAGAATAGTGTTTAAAATGCCTCTTAAAATAAACATAAATAAGAATTTATTGAATTTTAAATCATTTTCAGGGAACGTTGAGAGTTTATCCACTCCCATCTGATCCCAACGCTCCCCAACCTATGAAAATCTTTCAGGGTTTGACACAGGCAACCGTGGAAGAGATTACAGTACGAGTGTACATTATAAAAGCATTTGATCTTGCTCCAATGGATCCAAACGGTCTGGTAAGATGAGATATTGACTTACCGTATTCTATATACTTGAATGTTTGTTTCCAAACTCTGTCTTGATGTTCCTTATTTACTATTAAAATCTGTATAAACATTTTTTTGTCTATGAATGTATGCATGTCCATAGATGTCACTCTCTGGTACTAGAGGGGCTATGAATGATATTGGCTAATCTGATACATAAACAAAATGGGAACAAATGTGAACACGTGTTTGTGATACCGCTTTTCCTTGCTGTGCTGCATGTGTGCAGCATGGCAAGGAAAAGCGGTATCGCAAACGCATCTTTGCCATGTGGCAGCACAACCACACAAGCGTCAATTCGCTTACATTTCAGCGCATGCGTTCAGTATTCAAGATTGCAAACGATACTGACACTGTCACTATCCATGTGTTTACAAATTTTGTTTTGTTCAGCTTGATTTATTTAGCTAGAATATTTTGTCAAAGATTCGAACGAAGATATTGGATTAGAGATATTTTCTTGGATCGATAAAGAACTGGTGAACAAAATAAGCTTATTCCTCGATTAAGACCTCTCGATAAAGAATACTATTTTGAGTAAGATTCGGTTGTTTTGTTCTTTGAATTAAATTATATATGATTATTTGTGTAGAATTTGTGTTAAATTTATTATCCTTTTCTCTTTATTCTGATGTTAGTTATCCACATCAAACTTTTCGCCATTAAAACGCCACATGATGTATTTTCTCATGTGACTACCAGACAAAAGATAGAATTTAACAAACTTTTGCAGCATGAGAAAAGTGGAAAAGTGGCACAAAATCAACTTCTGTGACGAGAAAAAGTGACGTCATCTGCCGTTTTTCCTTGCCACGCCACATGTGTGCATCCTCCTTTAGGAAAGAAGTTGCTAGCTGCAATTTTGATTGGTAACATTATATAAGTGACATTGTCAAAGAGTTGAGTTGCAAAGCATTGAAATAATTACAGCAGCATTCGAGATTCTTGCAACATTGTCTTCCTTGGAGTCAATGGGAGTCTCATATGCACACATGATGTATCAAATTTACAAATGCTGGTGACTTAGATGTTTGTTCTATGTTCCCACTTTGCCTCTCTAGGAAATTTTGGGACCACAAAACAGTGTTTTCTATTACCAAAGAGTGACGTCTGTGAACATACACTTGTAGACAAAAACGATTGTTTTATGTTCCCTATTTCTTGTTAAACTTTATACTTAGAGCTTGGAAATCCCCATGACATAAATTCTCTCGGGTTGAATTTTGTCTCTCAAATCATTTGAATAGTCAAATGGATCACTAGGTTCAAGTTTAAATTTGAAAATTTCATTTACTGACATGCACTGTTGTTGTATGGCTTGTATTTTGAATATTTATTCCATTTAAGCATAATGATATTAATATTTACAGGCAGATCCTTACATATGTATTAAACTGGGTAAGAAGAAACGGGACAACAAGAGTCGTTATAAACCGAATACCATTAACCCAATATTTGGAGAGTAAGATTGTAGTGTTAATATTAAGAAACTTTTTAAGTATTTTAATGAAAAATTATAATTTTGCTTTTATTTCAGAATGTTTGAGTTGTCGGGAAAACTCCCTATAGATAAAGATCTAACCATTTCAGTTTGGGATTATGATCTGGCGAGTGGAGATGATCTCATAGGAACCACAGTTATCGACTTAGAGAATCGCTATGTCACCAAACACCGTGCCACGTGCGGATTACCTAAAACCTACCAAATGTAAGTTTGCCATGTCGAATCTTATTCAAGTGATAAGAACTTATAAGGAACAGTACACACAACTATGAATTTTATGCATAAGATAATTATGTTTTTAGGTATGGAACATGCAGCTTTGTTCATTGAGAATGTACAGACTTAGCAGATTATATTGGGTGAGTCAGGAAAAGAAAGAAATGATAGTATAGGTTATTGTAAGCAAAAATCTTTATATGAATGTGGGTATTATTCTCCGTAGTTTCAGAGATATATCTGTACGAAAATTGCTCGCATGCAATAGTAATCATGAATGACATCATGTGTTATATTCAAAACAAATACTTGAAAATCAAATCCGAAACTTCAATACACTTTACAATTGATGTTTAGACATAACTTGTAAAGCATGTTGAAGTTCAGGATTTGATTTTCAAGTATTTGTTTTGAATACACGTTTTAGCTGTTTTATTTCCTTATTCTTCGTTCTGCAGGTGCGATCCCTAAGAACCGTCTTCCATCGGAAAAAATCTCTTTCTAACTCGTTAAATTCTAACAATCCTCTCTCCATTTCCGCTATTGAAGTTTGCCATAAGTTTTCGTCTTCCGGAACAAAGTTAGGACCTTTTTGTAGAATTTCCTTGATTTCAACGTTTTCATGTTGTAAAGCCAACATTTCGTTGGCTTTACAACATGAAAAAATTGAAATTTACAAGAGTAAATTAAAAGACGGGTGTATCAATGCAAGGGATGCTGATGGTTTAGCTTCGGCATGGAAGTTCTTTGTAAAAGAAAAGTTAAAACACAAAAAGTCTTAGTTCATATCTGCCTTTATAATGTGATGTTTTTTGATATATATTTTTATGTATTTAATCATTTTTGTGCATATAATCTTTTAGGTTTATTTTTGTTTTTAGTTTTATATCGCCTTATTTTATTATTGTTTTATTATTTATTATTTATATTAATATGGCTTCAATCTATTTATTACAGTTATTTTGTATAGTGATTGGTTAATTTATTTTACGTTTTAATTTCAAAATTTGTAATGTTCGAAAATTCCGTTTTAACGCAATTTTCAAAGTTGTTCGATATCACCTGATGATGGCCTATCTCATTAGGCTGAAAACGTTTGTGAGTTAATAAATATTTCTCAGCGTTAAGGTGTTGAATATTTTACTGTTTAAAAGAAGCTGAGTTTGATATTTAATTTAGTAACAAGTGTCATTTATTATTATTGTTGTATGTGAGGAACTTTCATACAGCCATTTCTTTAAAACTACTGAGATTTTTGCTTACAATGCCCTATACTATTGTTCTTCAAGATATTTTCCTCACTTACCCTGTAAATTGGAAATGTAACACAGATTTATTAGTATAATGTTCAGATTATACCAACCTTAACATCAATTTAGTTATGAAGAATGAATTTCAATAAAAATGTATAGACTTATTGAATTAAAAGTTAATATTTTCAGAGTAATTAATTTCATATTTAGGACTTTAGTGAGGAATTTGAAGCTTCAGTTTGAAAACCATTTATCATATTTTATTTTTGAATCAAACAAAAGTAGTTTTAAATGAGTAATATTTCATTACTTACATAGATCGGGTCCAAACAAATGGAGAGATTCTAAAACTCCTAAAGAGATACTGACAGAGGTTTGTCATTTACATAATCTTCCTCCTCCTGTATTTAATGATGAAAAGGTTTATTTGGATAATAAAGTATATACTATAAGCGATTTTGGTAAGTATAAATTTTAGCTTTATTGCAGATGATATAAAATGTGTAAGAGTTACAAATGATGTACTGATTTAATTGAAACTGCTGTCTTAGAATGGAAACTTTTTAAAAAATATACACCAACATAGATTCCTGTTGTTGTGTATAACCAAAAGCATTACAGTGTTCTAAGAAGTATTTACTTCAAGAAACTGAAAGCTTTCATTCAAACTGCAATTAGATTTTGGTTAACAACTGGGTTATATACAGTAGAACCCCGATTATCCAAGGTAATGGGTACTGATGCTACCTCAGGTTACCAAAAACTTGAATGAAACGGACTTTCTTGACCATTTCAGATTAAAATTTAAAGTGATTTATATTTGTAAATTCACTAAGGCAGTGGTTTTCGAACTTTTTCAATCATGAAAATTTTCGTTGGCCATATTTTTTTGCAGAACCCTAATTCTATTCATGATTTTTACCAAGCATTGTAAACTCACAGCATTCTTCTTTCTTTTACATACTCCTAATATTTGAGTTGTTTGCATAACATAGATTTGGAAGGAAAGAGAAAACATTTTTATACATAACTGCAAACTTTTATTTTTGTACAAAAACAAAATACTGGGCTTTTATCTACTTTTGTACTTAAAGGCCAATTGCAAATCTATTTTATATCCAACAAGTGATTAGGTAAATCTAGGCTGGCATCCAACCTACTCATAAATTTGTTTTCGGTATAAGCATAAGCCAAAAAGTCCAGTTCATATTGGTATGCAAACACAAAAGGGAGTTTTTAAGACAGAATATGCCAAATTTCATTAAGTAAATCAAGTCATTTGGTGGCACAGACAATGTGTGAGGTTTATTTCAATTGAGAAACTGCTGCACTAAGGTATAAACAGACATTAAGAATATCATTTTTATTTAATTTATGTAGTATACAGCTAATACGTACAGTAGATTTAAGAATAAAAATTTGTATTGTTTGCCTCGTGTTAAAGTTACTAGTTTGCGTTTTATCAATTATGACAAAATGATTTGTTTCTGTTGTTACACAAGTTACTATCTAAACAGAGTTTAAGAGAAAGTAGCATATTTGTTTACAGCTTCTCTTTAGATAAAATCAGGGTTCTACTGTATTAATCTTTTGGATTGAAGACAATCCATAATCGCAAGATGTCTATGTGTGATAATTTAAAATGAAAATTGCTTATATTAAATCAGTCAAATAAAAAAAAATTATACTATTTAAGTATGTAATCTATTAAATTTTGACTGTTACAAGTTTCATTGTTTTTTTCACAGAAAAAACTCCACCTAAAAATTCGCATTTAGGTTCGATGGATCAGAGACTGGCTCTCTACATATTGAACCAATTCAATTTAGTGCCCGAACACGTAGAAACTCGATCATTATATAATCCGGCCACACCCGAGCTGGAACAGGTATTTATTATTGTCAAAATGTTTTAATAAATAAGAGATTTCTCTGAAGATTAAACTCAGACTCATACTTAACAGAGTTACAATTTATCATTTCTGCTTGTAATTTGCAATCGGGTTTTCTTTTAGTTTATAAATAGTCTTTGATATGTGTCCATTTATATGCGTTTATATAATCATCAGAAAACATTTTAGAATAATTGAAGTCAAGTTAGTGTTTTTTTTAATTAGGATGCTGCTCAAATACTAAATTGTCTTGTTAAAGAAATTTAAAGACTGTTTCTAAGATGCTATAGCAGTAAGCTTAAGTGTAATGCTGTAGTATCTTTGAAAATTCACAAAGTAAAATCTAGTGAAGCATACAATTTTAAAGGGTGATCTTAAAGTTTCATTTGACATCCCTGTAATTTGAACTGCATGCAAACTTAGAAATTGCCGCCAATTTACAGTTGAACCTTTGCAAACACACTAACATTTTGCATGAGATTAAAAAGGGAGAGGTATGCCGAGATACTTTGCAAGGAAAGTTCTTTCAGGCCACATCCTTTACCAATGAAAGTCTGATAGTATTTCATCCAAAACCTAACAATTAAAATGTGATCATTTGCACTGCATCTGCAGAAAACATTGTTTCCATTACTCGTCCTGTGGGAATTTTGCATCCCTTTTGTATCAGAAAATGGATGCAAAATCAATGGAAAAATGCCCTTTTGTATCAGAAAAATTGCACCAGTTTCCAAAACATCATGTACAGTGCTCATGCAAGGCCGTACAAAATATCACACTGCTATTGAAACTGTTGTACAATTTGAGAATCTCTGCACGAGATTCTGGAAAGATTGACTAGGTAATTCACCTGACTTGAATCTTATAGAACATCTTTAGGCACAGTTTCAAGACAGTGTTTTGGATGTGGATGGCAGAAAACAATTGATTATAACAGAGAGTACAGGACAAGTGGCTATCATTTCTGGTGGTCTGTTGTCTTATCTGGTAGATACTTTTTTCTTTCATGATTAATGATAGTTTAGATAAACATGAAGAGTATGGTATAATTTATTACTCAAATGCATGGTTATAATTTTTGAAAATAACTATGGGTGCAAACTTTTAGATCAATCTGTAGTATTTTGTGTTTTGGTATATTTAGTCCTGTCTGTTTTCTCCTCTTCCTTCTGCAGCATTGTTAGCTCCACTTTTCCCGATTTGGCAGTTTTATGGTCAGATAACAACTCTTTTATGTTACATTTTGGGTCAGCAGAGCTACCGGGCCATAGCAGAGAGTTAGACGATGGCACTTGGTGATTCTGTATAATCTTGGAATTAACTGGGAATATTACAATGCTGAAGGGTATAATGAAAATAACTGCTAAATAAAGATTCATAAAGAATATGTCCAATACTTTTACAGAATTTCGATTTTATATTTCTTTAATAAGACAATATTGCATCACTAATTTTAGGAAATTATTGTATTTTGACACAGATAATGCTAACTTTTGCAAAATAAATAACATCAGCACAGTTAAGACTGTATTATATTAACTGAGTTACCTCACATTAAACACTTTAAACTTTCATTACAGGGGAAATTAGAGATGTGGATTGACATATTTCCAAATTCATTGGGCAAACCCGGTCCTACGATTGATATCACTCCGAGAAGCACCTCAAAGTAATTTTTATAAAATTAGTTTCTTTATCAATTAAAGTTTAGAGTGGAAATTAAAAATTAATTTTTATTGGCAGATTTGAGTTGAGAATTGTAGTGTGGAACACCAGTGATGTCCTCCTTACCGAAACTAATATCATGGGAGAACAAATGAGTGATATATACGTTAAAGGTTGGATCAGTGGCATAGACAACATACAGAAAACAGACGTTCACTATAGGTAATGTAATTCCAGATCATATTTTCAACAGGTACCTTTGATGATATGTAAAATATAATGTAAAATCATGTACATACAGATCAATGGATGGCGAAGGTAATTTTAATTGGCGATTTGTGTTTCCATTTGAATATTTGATGGCAGAAAACAACATAGTAGTAAAAAAGAAAGAACACTTCTGGTCTCTGGATGTTACGGAACATCATCTCCCTCCTAAATTAATTTTGCAAATCTGGGACAACGACACATTTTCCTCGGATGATTTCATAGGTATTTATGCTTCCGAAACTTAATACTAAACGGGTAATTTTTCAGTTGCAAATAAATGATAAGTAAATTTTAGGTTCACTCGAAATGGACTTGACTTGCATGCCCCAACCAGCAAAAACTTCAGAAAAGTGCTCTCTAGAGCAGCTGGGTTATGAGCGGAAACAGACTGCACTAGACAAACTGATATTGAAGTCTCATAAAACTAAAGTAGAATATATAAACATTTTTGAGAAAAGAAGAATTTACGGCTTTTGGCCTTTCATTGCAGAAGATCCGGAAGAGGGAATGATACTAGGAGTCAGTATACTTTTATAATATGTAATGATAATGTCTAATGTCTGAAGTGATAATGTCTACGGGCAACTGATAAAAAAAACTGCAATTTATTTACAGCCGATAACTGACCTCAAATTACTAATGAATTTTGATTTTAATTTTAAATTATAGGGAAAAATAGAAATGGAAATGGAAATTATATCTGAGGAAGAAGTCGAAAATAAACCAGCTGGACATGGAAGAGATGAGCCTAACATGAATCCAGTATTAGACCCACCAAAGTAATTCAGTTTTGAGTTTTAAATGAACATTAAGCAATGTAACACAAGCATTTTTCTATGATTTTGTGTCTTAGTACAGAATAATTCATGAATGCAACTTACATTTTAGGATAAAAACTCTGTACACACATGGTAAATCTCATTGTGCATTTTTATACCTGTGCCATGTTCTTACATATGTTTGGAGTGTGGGTTGCATGGCTTGTAGGTTACTCCTGTATTGTAATGACTTTTCAGGATAATTTATAAATACATATCCCAATGATAGAAATTGATGATGATCCGGTGATCCATCCCTTGCCACCTGGACGAACCCGCATATGCTTGGAAGAAAGGGCCTCTCGATGCCCAAAGGTGTTGAGAGGGTTTTTCTTCCATGGGCTCTTTCTCAACACCTTGTGACCACCGAGAAAGATTAAATAAAACCAATTTAATCAGCTCTTAAAACTTTCTTTTGTTACCAAATTTGGCTTTGGCTGCCAAGAAATAATATGTCTAGAATAATTATAATGATTAATTAGTCTTTCTTTACCACAGTCGGCCAGCTACCTCATTTTTATGGTTCACGTCTCCCTGGAAATCATTCAAACATATCATCTGGAAGAAATACAGATTATTCATAATTACTTCATTGATTATTTTGTTCAGCATCCTACTCGTTTTATTATTTGTTTATAGTTTTCCTGTGAGTATTATAATTTGTAAGGAATAATAGAATGTTTTACAGCTGCAAAATACTAAAATATTTAAAATTTTCTTTTACAGGAAGTTCTTGCATATAAAATAATTCATATTTAAATGAAGAATTAAGATATTTTTGTATACTTAAGAAGTAATTTTTGTATAGTCAAAGTGAAAAGTAAGCTCAAACTGTTATTTATAAAGATTAAATAATTACTTATGAACATTGAGTAAATGATTTCTTTATTTCTGCTGTTTTGCCATAAACACATATTGTTAACATTCACTTTTACTGAAAAAAAACTCTAGATAATTTTTTCTAATCAGTGAAAAAGCTATATGAATACCTTCAACATATCAACAGACATATCAGTAATTTGAACACAGACGGAGATTGTTACATCTCTACAAAACATTCCACACGACAGACAATTTCATTTTTCACTACGAAATACATTAAAGATGCTAACAGTTGCCAGCAACTCATACTCAATGAATTAAAACATAAAAAATTAAATATTAATTACAGAATTAAAGGTTATTATTGTTAGCTATTACAAAGGTGCATTATTGTTAGCTATTACAAAGAAAAAATACATAAAATTAATAATTGAATGTATAATTATTGTCTATATTTGTTCTATTTTTAAAACCCAAGCCCATTGTGATGGAAGTAAATTTGGTGTTAGAGAAGGGAAAGTAATTTGAGTTCCTTTACCACCCAACGACTTCCACTGAAGTTCATATTTCCATCCGAGCAGTCGAACAGATGCTGCACCTTCCAGTTTCAATGCTCCCAATGTCAATATATTACCTTTTGGCCAATTTAAAACAATGGTGTAAACACTTTCCCCTTTTGAAGTGTACCTGATAAAGTATTGATAATGAGAATACTTTCATAACAGTTGAGTAAATACTGTTAAATTCTTACCAGATATTCTGTGTGATGGTGTCATTCTGATACGTCCAAGGTTTGGATTCGTAAATGGCTTCTCCATTCACACTTAACCACAATCCCAGTTGACGAAGTCGCTCTTCAAAGACTGGAATGATTCTTCCGTCATGGGTCGGACCGATGTTGATGAGAATGTTTCCGCCACAACTATAGAAGTAATAATTTATGCATATGACATAAAAAAGGCGTATAAACTAAGCTTATTGTCACCTTATGGTTTGTGCCAAGGTTGCAATCAGTTTCTCAATGGGCATGATATCAGCTATTTTTATATTTCTTCTGAATCCCCACGAAGAATAGTCTAAAGTCATGGCATTTTCCCATTTTCTCTTTTGTAACTTTCCTAATTTTGATAGAAATGTTTAAAATTACCAAACTTAAAAGCAAAAGTATTAAACTTGGCTTTACCTGGGTTATATCTGTCTTTGCACGTGTAATATCCACCATGATGGCACGGAATACCTTTGCCCCAGCGATCATTGACCACGATGACATCCTTAACAGGACTAAACATAAATATTTTAAGTTTTTATTGTATTAGAGGAATTATAAAGTTTAAAATACCACGCTACCTTTTGTTGTATAACCATGCCAAAAATCCTGTGCTATTCCAGTAAGTGTCGGGTGCTTCCCAGTCGCCATCAGACCATATCAATTCTGGCTCGTAATTGATTACAAGTTCATAAAGTTCGGGCATTGTTTTTACCTATATTGAAAAATTTTGGTTATCTGCCACTTAAAAATAGTAGAAAGGTTAATTTATAGATAAGGTCTACTAATCTTTTAAAGTGTAGGGATAGAAAAATGTCACCATCGGAATTTATTAGTTACAAGTCTGTAGCCTACATTTGTGAAGTCACATTGTTATATTGAATCAATCAATGGATTGCAGTGAGTTTTAATTCAATAGAAAGTAGTAGTGTTTGGCGATTGAAATTTTAGTCTTGAAATGTTTCGTGCCTATTGAAATTTTCACATTGATGAAATATTGTACAACCTAACAGATTTTCAAGAGACACATTCAAAGATTAAGGCCAGAAAGAACCATCTTTTCCTTGCACTGTGATAATGCAAGATCATACTGCATTATCATTGTATAGATGCTTAAGACCCCAAAATCACAAATGATTCTGCATCTCACTTAAAACCCAGATCTGGCACCAGATTTTTCCTTCTCAAAAAGTACTGTTAAAGGATATGTCATAATGTGAGGATTCAGACTCTTTTGGGAGTTTTAAAGGCTTAAAACGTTATAAAATTCTTTTCATCATTATTTTCCTTCTTCCTCCAGTTTTGTTGAAGCTAGACCTTTTGCCTCCTCAGAGTACTGCATCACTTCGAAAGGTGATCTTCTAGACTTCCTCAGTCATCCTAAACGTCTTTGAAAGTTCTCCCCTCGCAACAGGGGATTACCCAATTCCACCTTCACTATAATGAACAAATCAGTAGCCAATTAGCAAGAATCTCCACCTGTCACAACGTAGAGAGTAACAAAAACGTCAACACAATCATCACCCCGTTGGTGCACGGATGTTCTGATCTTAGCCACCTGTGGTAATTAATTTAGGAAGTTGACAGCTGTTGTCAAATTTATGATGGGAAAGTGTCACAATATCGTAAACAAGTCTAGCCGCAAAGGCAATGGCATCAGATTTTCCCCCAATGATTGTCCCTCCGGGACGTGTATAAGAAGGGGTCGCACTTGCACCTCGAGGCAGACAGCTGAAGCGGACACAGCCAGTCAGACAGCAGCACAGACACAGCTGGCAGACACCCACCGCGGACATCAGGGAGACACCAAACTGTCTGNGGTGCGATCCCTAAGAACCGTCTTCCATCGGAAAAAATCTCTTTCTAACTCGTTAAATTCTAACAATCCTCTCTCCATTTCCGCTATTGAAGTTTGCCATAAGTTTTCGTCTTCCGGAACAAAGTTAGGACCTTTTTGTAGAATTTCCTTGATTTCAACGTTTTCATGTTGTAAAGCCAACATTTCGTTGGCTTTACAACATGAAAACGTGTAAATGTTGTAAAGCCAACATGAAAATGTTGTAAAGCCAACATTTTGTTGGCTTTACAACATGAAAAAATTGAAATTTACAAGAGTAAATTAAAAGACGGGTGTATCAATGCAATGGATGCTGATGGTTTACCATCGGCATGGAAATTCCTTGTAAAAGAAAAGTTAAAACACAAAAAGTCTTAGTTCATATCTGCCTTTATAATGTGATGTTTTTTGATATATATTTTTATGTATTTAATCATTTTTGTGCATATAATCTTTTAGGTTTATTTTTGTTTTTAGTTTTATATCGCCTTATTTTATTATTGTTACTATGTTAATAAAATAGTCACAATTCAGTGAAGAATGTGAACTTATAACAACTTAAAATGTGTTATATTCAAAACAAATACTTGAAAATCAAATCCGAAACTTCAATACACTTTACAATTGATGTTTAGACATAACTTGTAAAGCATGTTGAAGTTCAGGATTTGATTTTCAAGTATTTGTTTTGAATACACGTTTTAGCTGTTTTATTTCCTTATTNCATACTGCATTATCATTGTATAGATGCTTAAGACCTCAAAATCACAAATGATTCTGCATCTCACTTAAAACCCAGATCTGGCACCAGATTTTTCCTTCTCAAAAAGTGCTGTTAAAGGCTATGTCGTAAGGTTAACTTTGTAAAGATGTTATAGTTCTTGTGCCGTTGCAGTATATAAAAAAATAATAAAAAAAACAGGATGGTCCATTAAATTAATTATGCATACAGTTTAAATGAGAAGAGGACTGTGAAAAATACAACATTGTACACAACAGAAAGTGAAGGGATGGAGGCATCATCTAAGTGTGTATACATCTTTATACACGATGGGAAGAAAGGGGGATCATAAGTGGCTCAAAAATTGTACACAAACTTGGCAGTCTGCTCTTGAACTGTACACCTTAATGGACAGTATGTTAAAAAGTGAATATGTACAATTAAAATAAATAATTTTAAATAAACAGAGACCTGTTTATCAATCGACCCTCGTATATATAAATAATGAGAACCTACTTACGTCAACAAAATATCTAGTAGTCCATTTGTTACTTTTGTCCGTTAGATAAAGTGGATGAAACCAATCCATCAACGAATGGTAGACTCCAAAATGCATATGTTTGTATTTACGAACGGCTTTAGCCAAATCACCTAAAACACGAGAAGTAAGGGAATTTTAAAAAAATGGTATTTCAAGTTAAAAAAAATATAAAATTACAAACCTAAGAGATCTCTTTTCGGACCTAAATCCATGGCATTCCAGTTCCAGGAGAATTTGGAAGGCCACATTGTGAATCCTTCGTGATGTTTACTTGTAAGGACCACATATCTGAAAGATAAAGTATTATATAACAAGATATGATTGTCAGCGGTATTCCGCTTCTTTTAGGCACTACATTTGGTCTTGATCATGTTGCATGAAGCTCGTTAAAATTACTTGCCGTAAGCAAATTTGGTTGCACGAAGTTATTTATAATCAGTAACAATCTACAAGTACTTGCTCCATAGCTACAAATATTACGGCTCTGCTGAGAACATAAGTTATAGAAATTTATTTAGCATGGTTTTAGTGAATGATATTCTTCCATGTGATAAAGTATTCACGTTGATATTCGCATTACGCGAGATCTTAACGTTCCAAAATATCATGAGAAGAGAATGGAGTGGCATGCTTTGCTGTCGTCATCTCTCAACATCTCATTACTTTCATTTCTTGATAATTTATGAAGGAAAAAATTCGGAAGGATAATTTTTACATTAGTTTTCTGGTACGCTTTCATGGCACAGATACCATAATTTCTCTATTGATGTAATAGAAATGATCCAAAGTAATGAATAATAGAATTAATATTTATGCCAAAAAAAACTGTTTAATCTAGTTATAGAAATAATATTTACAAATAACCCAGTTAAAACTTGATTAATGTGGACTTTAGCATTTAGTAAAACTTCCTGACAACATTCGAGATTTAAATCGCTATGTATCTATGACGAAACTACCATCGGTTTATTATGTATTATTGGCTACCTTTTATAAGGATGCTAATTTAATTATATTAATAAAAACAAATTAATTAAGTTTAAGTACATAAGAGATGCGGCCCCCTTTGTGAGGCTGAATCGTTTTGGGCTGTAAAATCGCATTGTTATGGCACTTTAGACATTTCAAGTTCAAAAATTAGGAAGAAAAACCTCACCTGGCTCCCGATGCATTAAATATCTCGGCCCAATGATCCGGATCATAAAATTCGGCTGTAAACATAGGGCCAAAATCTTGATAAGTGAAGTTAGGTCTGTAGTTTTGTCTCATGAACTTCATATACTGAGGTTCTTTTTTTTGCCAGAACATCCAAAACGATGCTGATCCGAAACTAGGTACAGAATACAACCCCCAGTGGAGGAATATACCGATTTTGCTCTTGTCGAACCATTCGGGAAGGGGTCTACTGTCTAACGACTCCCAATTTGGTTGATAATTGGCACCTGTAAGATAGACAAACACCAGCAGAGAGCAAAGACGTAATAACATGTCCATCGCTTCGACAGAACTGACCCGCTTCCTGATGCAAAGTTCGAATTTGTTTTATCGGGTTGAAAGTTGCGCTATATCGAGTCTAAAGTTAAACACTATATTTGTGTTGTATAATCTACTTATGAAAGTTAATTGACTCGTTATTTATAATTCCCCTAAGATTAGTAACGAGCAGAAAGAGGTAACCTGCAAGTCACAATCAAATTTAGCAAAGTTACTTGATGTGCTTCAGTAATTTTAGATTTTCTGCTGTCGTATTATGTTAGCTTTGACGTAGATATAAATATACACATATATACTGTATTAATTTTTCGGTAGCATAGCATGATTTTATAAAAAAATGTTCAAACACAAAATCTCTGCGCGTGGTAAAACAAACACACGAACACAGATATTTATGTTTACATAGTATCTACCAGAAGGAGTTGTCTGTACATTCTTTGAGCACGGTATGTTCTTTTCACTTAATTTTCATTGTATTTCTTATTAATATTTAGTGACGTAAGATAAATGGCTGCAAACAAAAATGTCATCCAAGAGAATATTTTGTATTTCTTGCATTTCTTGTTATGAATGTAATGTACGAGTATAATAATACGCAGACATTTTATATTTACTATTTTACTAATGCTTTAAATGTTAATTATTTAATACAGAAAATTAAAGCTCTGTAAATGAATATAAACTAAAAACTAAATTATTAATTTCATACTTTTAGTTTGTTTTGGTAATTAAATTTAAGAAGCATGGAAGTGAATGTAAAGAAATTCTTAGTGTTCACTTTAATTGTTATGACAGGATAAATTATTAGGGATAAACGATAAAAATTAATATCACATATGGATTGTTTATTTGTATACGGCAGCGCCATTTGCCAAGGGGATGCCTCCCGGGAGGACTTTCTATAGGAAACTGTTCCCTATTTAGGTATTATAAACGTAAAGAAAACCCGAAAAAGTCCACATGGCCAGCCCGTTGGCAAGGCGATACAGCTGTATCACATTCAATTAAAAAAAACTGTAACAGATTAACTTGAACTGAGATAACAAGAAGACGGTAATGTTGTTAAATATTAAATGATTTAACATTCATAAAATTATTGCTATACTTTAAAATATTTTGCTTAATTAAAAGTGTTACTGTTGGCACTTAAGCAATTGTGATTAAATCAGTATTGCCAGTTTTGTTTATATGGAATTATTAATACTAAATAATTACAGTAGATCCCCCTATAACGCTTAGATACGTTCCACGTTAATCGAAATTTACGTTGTAGGAATGATTAAATACATGAGCCAATCGCAGCCCGATAGGTGTGAACTTTACGGACTAAGGCTGTTTGAAAGGTTTTCTTCTATNAATAATCATCACGGTTATATTATAATAATTGTCAAATTATCAGATAAAATAATCACATTTTTAGAAACTTCAAAAAATTAAATGTCATAATCAAAATTAATTAATGGTAAATTGTACTTCAAAAAGAGTAACTTGGCAGCTTTATCCCCAAAAGTCTATTACGATGAGGATCATAAATAATTCCTGCTGCACTAAAAAACTGCTCACTTGGAACGCTTGTTGCAGGTGACGATAAATATGTGTGAGCCGTGTGACTAAGACCTTCAAATTTTTTACTATTAATCTGCCAATACATTAATGGATCTTGGTCTCTTGATAATCTTTTTTCTTTGGCATATTCTGTGAGCAAATTAGCATTAGTGTATGATATTCGGTTTTCAGATTCCTCATCTTCATCGTCACTATCTAATACTGTATATTGGCCATAGAGTCTTCTAAATTGTTGCAATGTTTTTTTCTTACAGCATTTGGTTTTTCTGTGCTAATTGTAGTTGTTGTGATATTTACTTCTGTTTCTAAAGCTGTAAGTAATTTCTGTTTTATATCTTGGATAAGAAAGTCACTGAATAATTTACCTTTGTAACGTGGGTCTAATAATGTTGCTATTTGGAACAATATATTTTTGTCAATTTCAGAAAAACGATAATCTAATTCATTCTTCAAAGAAGACAAAAAATCAAGAACGGCAGGTGTGCTGATGTTGAGAGTTTCCCCACTATTAGTAGAAATCTGAATCTCGTCATACAATTTATTTAATGTTCGTACTAGAGGAATAACGTCAGATATGCATATGTTTTGTGCACTCAATTTTTTTGTGGTATCCTCCAGAGGCTTCAGTACTCTCACTAATTCTTGAATTAAAATCCACTCTTCGGCTCAAACTGTTCTATTCGTTTTCTATTCAAATTTTTATTCCAAAGACAGCTGACATTCTAACAAATCGTTGCAAATAGAACATAGCCTGATGAAGGACCCAGTGGGATCCGAAAATGCTAGCATAAGCAATTGAACATATTTCACGCCGGTTATAGGTTTTTAGAAAGATTGTTTGTATTGTTCCGGTGTGCGTCGAATAATTATTTAGTTATAAACTGTTCTATTTTATTATTAGTAGAATAAAGTGACAACGAATCCTTAATGCAATCAAGTCTTTCCAACATATAATAGCTGGAAATCCAGTGTGTTGGCGAGTCTTGCAAAACTTTTAAAACTCTTTGATTGAGTCGAACTTGTATTTTTTCCAATTCTTGTTTTGCCATTGTAGAATGGTTGAAATGTCCTGCAATTTTTCTGCATTTTGTAAGTAACATGGATATTGCATCAACATTTTTAATAGCTTCTTTGACCACCAGATGCAGCTGATGTGCTGTACAGTCAATATTATTTATGTCAGATAAAGTGCAGGCACGCTTCATGTTGGATCCCCCATCTTTTACCATGCAGTGCACATTCTGTTTCAGGATTCTCCACTCTTCAAACATATGTTGAAATATTGCTGAAATGTAATCTCCCGTGTGGCATTCGTCAAGAATCTCCGCTTTCAAAACAATATTTTTTCTTATAAAATGCCATGACATGTTAAGGATAATAATGAAACTCCTGACAAAGAATCTGACCAGATATCTAATGTAAAGGAAACTTTCTCAAAATCCTTCAACATGTTCTTTATTTTCGATGACACTTTATTGTAAAGTTCGCTGCAAACAAGTTCTGTAAAATATTTCCTGCCTTTTAGAACATAATTTGGAACAACATGATTCAACAATCATCGGAACCCCAATCCTTCTATGTGTTGAAAAGGTAAATCAGATAAAGCTATCATTTCTGCAATTAAATAGTCAATTTTTACTGATTTGGGGTTTGTATTATCCCACATTTTGACTTTTTCTATGTATTCGTTAAAAAATGTTTGTCTAAATTCTCTTTTTACCGTTTGTAAAGATGTTCCCTGTTAAATGTTTTCGTCGGCACTCTTCTTAGTGGAGTCTTCTTTTAAGAATAAAGCATATTCTTGTGGGTGTTTCCTCTGGAGGTGATTTTTTAACGATGTACCTTTACCCTTACGGGAATACTTTCCTTCACAAATTTTGCATTTAGCACATTCGCCATTTACTATCGTAAAATATTTCCGTATTACACTACTGTACTAAACTTTTTTGTTGACATTGTTTTTATTTTAATTTAACTCAACACTCTCCAAAAACACAAACATAATCTATGCTATCCCGTGTCACACTAAACTATTGTGGCAGTACGCTATATTTTTGTAAATATTAATTTTAGTTTAGTTTCTTCTTTCTACCCTTTGTTCTATTTTCTTCTAGAACTTTCTTATCTATTCCCTGTTCCTTGGGTGGGATGAGCAGTTCCTAGAAATTTGAGGAGTAAAGATGTAAACAGGACCTGGAGAAAAAAGAGAAGTGGCATAGCAGGTCATTCGTAGGCCAGACGGCAGAGTGTATGGACGAGGTGAGAATACTGGGAGTCGTATTAGCAACAACCAGAAAGTTCAGAAATAAGTTGAGAAAAAAAGATCCTGTTTTAAGGTCGTACTGACGGCAGTGGAAGGAAAAATCCTAATTATTGAAGAAGAGAACTGGCCAGTTATAAGAAAAGGATGTGTGTTATCCCATCCGACAGTACGCATAAAGAAACAAGCCAAAAAAAGGGGCAAAACCCTGGATATCCCTATTTCTATCTTATATACCATTTATTCTGTCTTCTTAAATTGATTAATTAATTAATAATTCTATCCCTTTTTCTGTTATTAGTGTTAAAAGTTAGTGTTTAAGGTTAGTTTTAAGGTTTCGGATAATATATATTGTCGCGATCAGGATCTGTATTGTACACGTGCTTTGGATCCAGCAATCTATTATTATCGCTGTAATTTCGCATACTACTGTTTGTACCATAAAGTTGGAATCCCCAAAATAGAATCTGTATAAAGACGTGAAATAGTTTAATTGGAAAATTTTTGTTACTTTATCCTGTCTGTCATTGTGGTGAATTCTAATTCCGCACACTTTCACACTATAAACAAAAACACGTGCAGTGCAAGTCAAAACGCAAAGCGTTAACTATTGGTCCAAGGTCACACACACCGGCGCCGACTGAGTACGAAAGTTGAGATTCATATACGTATCTGCGGATCTAGACACTAATGATCCATATCTGTATCTGCGGATATACATTTTTAAAGATCCGGCACATAACTAATTCTAAGTACCAGCTGAGTACCATATCCCTCCTTTCTGCTGTGCCATGCAGCACACTCTTCTGCAGTACATTGAGTTTGGAGATGATGTTTTCAATATTTTCTAAAAAAAATCAGTGTTACACACTGCTGCTGCTTTAAATACTGACAGTAGGACTCATTAGTATAATATTTTTTTCCCCAAATATACACCTTAGAATCAGCTCCCTAAGTCCTGCTGATAAATTCTAAATTGCCCTGTATTTACAAATACTAATTCTTTTATAAATATACAGTGTACATATAGTTACATATATCTGATTATTATTGAATAAAAATATATTTTACATTATTTCATAAAAGCAATTATTGACTTATTTTCTTTTATACTGATTATCACAATAAATTTTTCAAATTTTTAATTTCTTTTATAGCAAATATTGTGAGACTC